AAACAAAACAAATAATACAAATAAAATTAAAGGCAGCAGAAAAAAAGAAAAAAAATCTTATTCATATCTGCCCCCTTTTCCCACCCCAAAAAATATAAAATGAATAAATTCAAACAATATTAATCTTCGAATAACAAAACATAAAAACTTCAACTCTTCCTCGAACAACAGCCCTTATAAACACACATCATATAAATTCATATCTCTTTAACAAACTAACTTTCATCATTCTCTTAAACAGATTTATTGAACCAGCATTTTTATAATCACTTTCCAGATTATTCCACAGTCTTATTCCTTGAATTGAAGTACATCGATCCTTCAAATTTGTTCAAATTTTAGGTTTTATAAACATCTCTAGCCCCTTAAGATTATAATTACTTACACTTAACAAAATTTAATTGGATATTTAAAAGTAATATTTTTTATGAGCCCTATACCTAACCTGTGAAATATTACAATCAACCAATTCATAAAATTTCAATAATTTTAACTGATAATGTGTTTGATGGGTGACTGTAATGTTTTCTGGTGATAATTCTTACGGCTCTTTTCTGTAAAATAAAGATGGGATTTGTAATAGTTTTACATATTAGCTAGGGTGCTAATGTGAAAGCTAACAGGCTAAGCTGACATTTCTCATTCTCATTTACCCAGAATGCTTTGTGACGTAAATAAAATGGCACTGCCCGTGTGTAAATATATATTTTTAATTTATAATAACTAAACATCCTACAGTATTTTTACTGTCTTTGTTAATTAAATAATGTTTAAAGTTACAACTAGTCTGAGTTTTCTTTAATAGTGATTAACAACACTAATATTTTCTGATCTCAGATTCACTCAACTTTTAACTAACACTTCTTACTCTCTCTTGCATTTCCGTCTCTGAAGGATGAACCTGCAGTAAGTCCTGAAAGGGATTTCTCCTACTGAAACCACAATGTTGCTGTTTGATTTTACGTCTGTGTTGTTGAGGTTTATCTGACAGCCCCTCTGCTCTGCAGCTCCYGAGGCTCCTGATAAGCCCACCGTCTCCTTGGCCACCGAGACATCGGCGTACGTGACGTGGATTCCTCGGGGCAACCGCGGCTTCCCCATCCAGTCGTTCCGGGTGCAGTACAAGAAGGTGAAGAGGGCAGGGGAGGACTGGGTGACTGCGGTGGAGAACATTCCTCCGTCAAGACTGTCTGTGGAAATCACGGGCCTGGAGAAAGGTCAGAACATACAATTTAACCGTGGTTACTCTGAGCTGCTGGAGTTGGGGGCGAGCTGAAGGATGTTGTTCCGTATAATTACTGTGATGATGCTCTGCATAATTACATCCCCACAATCTGTAAATTTATCACCATAATGAGTGTTGTTAGAGTCTTTTCAGTGATTACTGCCATTAATCAGAACAGTTAAAGTTAATGTAACATTAGCTCAGAGAAGAAAAACAACTTAATTACTGAGCTTTTAAGTTAAAGTTTGAATCTGCCGCCCCGAGTCACAGATCATTTATGTTTGCTCCTCCACACGTAGGCACGTCTTATAAGTTTCGTGTGGCAGCTGTGAACGTGATCGGTTCCAGTCCTCCCAGCGCTCCTTCGAAGGCCTACACTGTGGTGGGCGGGAGAACACACGAGCGTCCAGTCGATGGACCCTACATCACCTACAACGAGGCCATCAACGAGACCACCATCATCCTGAAGTGGACGGTGAGTGTCTTTACGTCAGAGAGATGTTTTATTTCAGTCCAGCTGTGATAACCTGATTTATTTCTCCCTTAACAGTACACCCCCGTAAACAACACGCCCATCTATGGTTTCTACATCTACTACCGGCCGACAGACAGCGACAATGACAGCGACTACAAGAAGGATGTGGTGGAGGGAGACAGATACTGGCACTCCATCACGGACCTCCAACCGGAAACGGCCTACGACATCAAGATGCAGAGCTTCAACGAGAAGGGGGAGAGCGAGTATGGCAACGTAGTGATCCTCGAAACGAAACGTGAGTCCACGTGCCCGCTCGTGTTTTTAAAGGGATCCATGATTAGTTGTAACATTAGACCTTGTTTAATAAACATTTATTTTAACTGTAAAAATACTGTAGGATGTTCAGTTTTTATCATTTTTAAACTAAATGATTAAAAATATATTTTAACACGGATGGAGCCATTTTATTTACACAAAGCATTCTGGGTAAATGATGATGTGGATAGGTCCTCGGTGTGAGCGAGCTATATCCACCCTGAAGGTTAATCTTGGACAATATCTGMTGATCGACTCTTTTAAATGAAACCAGAGAGCGTTGACAGAGAGGAGAAGGTAGAAATGACTCAGCCTGKAACTGAAAATATRGATGGAGGACAACAGTTTAGCTTGTTTGTCGCGCTAGCACCGAGCTAATACATATAATGATATATAGTGTCGGCGCTAGCGCTAAAGCTAACAGGCTAAGCTGAGGTTCTTCTTCCATGAAGCAGCTCTGTTGTCCTCCATCTATATTTTCAGTTCCAGGCTGAGTCATTTCTACCTTCTCCTCTCTGTCAACGCTCTCTGGTTTCATTTAAAAGAGTCGATCATCAGATATTGTCCAAGATTAACCTTCAGGGTGGATATAGCTCGCTCACACCGAGGACCTATCCACATCATCATTTACCCAGAATGCTTTGTGTGTAAATAAAATGGCTCSATCCGTGTTAAAAATATATTTTTAAAAATTTACAAAACTGAACAGGCTACAGTATTTTTACAGTCTTTATTTTACAGTTAAAATGAATGTTTATCAAATAAAGTCTAATGTTACAACTAACCGTGGATCCTTTAAATACACTTTCAGAGATTCTGACAGGTCTGCTCTTTGTGTCCTCAGCTCGTCTCAGTTACCCCGGCACCGTGCCCACAGTGACCTCAGGTTCAGAGAACGTGAACGACAGGGTGCTCGTGCCCCGGCCCGGTGACCTCCCCTACCTCATAGTTGGTGTCGTCCTGGGAGCCTTTGTCTTCATCATCGTCGCCTTCATCCCCTTCTGCCTGTGGAGAGCTTGGGCCAAGCAGAGTGAGTGTTGGCAGGGTCTCACGTCTTTACCTCCAGCTGTGCGTAACTCGTTTATTTTTTATCTTTCCCACAGAACAAACATCAGACTTGTGTTTCCCCGCTGTGGCTGCGCCGGTGTCTTCATGCCAGTACACGATGGTCCCTCTTCAGGGACTTGCTCTGGTTGGACACTGTCCTCTGGACGGGCGTATGACGGCTCCACACGGCGTGTACCCAGCTAACGGAGAATACCTGCAGAATGGCAAAGCTCACCACCCAAAGGAGTGTCTGCCAGGACTGCAGCAGGTAAAACACCTCTTTAATCTGTCTGATTAAACGGCTTTATTTAGTCTTTGTTGACTAAAATATCCAAACTCATCTGTGACGTTCAGGATGAGGTGGACTGTGAGATGGAGTGTGACACTCTTCTGCCTCAGACGATGTCAAATGGACATCTGCCCGTCTACCACTACTCCACCAGGTAACTATTAATATCTTACCTGTTATAGATGAATGCTGAATTAGTTTGGAGAAATGGTTAATTCTGACTAGCTTGAGTAGATTCTTACTGTTTAAAAGTAACTAAAGTCAAAACTGAAAGGTTATTTAATAAACTCTTACATCATCAGTTTTACATTGCGTGAATATTCTGGCTGAAATCTGAYAACATTCCTGCAGGATGGACTGTTAATTACTTCTGCTGCCATTTTCCTTTGTAAATAACCACAGAATTTATAATCTGATTTATTTTATTACAAAACATCAAAACATTTTCTCTCTATAATTTGTTTTTTCTCTGTTTCAGCAGCTCTCACGACACCCTTCATTATGTTAGATGCATCAATACCTATAATTTCATAGTTGCTAATGAAACCATGTGGATTGTACATAATGTTTTCTCCTTGATGTAACTATTCTTGTAGCCTCTCCTGCATGCGGTGCTCTAAATAAAGCTGCTGCATTGGGAACTATCCCAACACGTGTCTTGTTAAATCTTAAATTGTTCAACTTAAACAAACATTTAATAATAGTTGAGTATCACTTGAAATAAGATGAACGTGATGATAAAAAAAATGGTGCAGTGAAGTGAACAGTCTAATGACTACCAGCAGGCTTTACTCAAAGCTATCAGCCTGATTTCTTCAGTGTGAGAGCAGAGCACTCAGCTCACACGTTTGTTTTTGTTGTCCTCAGTGGCGTTGATCATCACAAACAGAACTGCTGCTCTCCCGACGACGTCACCCTTCAGCTGCTGCCGTCTTCCTGTCAGCTCGTAGACTCGCGCGACGTCTGCAGCAACGCCAGGTCCTGCTGCGGAGACGAAGTGCAGGAAGTAACTCAGAGTATGTGTACTAACTTTAAAACGACAAAGCAAAAAAATACATAATTATCTGATATCTGAAATGACTTGATAGCTACTAAAATCAGCGTAAACACAGATGCTATTCTCTTTTTTTTATGCTAAATCTAATTGAGTTCAGTTCTAGATTAGTTATTAACGGCTCCATCTTTGTGTTTTCTTTTCCCCAGGACCAGAACCTCTCTACCTTCTGTCTTTAGAGGACAAGATTTTCACCACGTCGTCTTCAACGCCCGCAACACAACCGACTCGAGACTCGATCCAGGAAGTGGACATCCTCCCAGATGAAGTGTCCCTCGAGGACGAAGGGTCGGCCCGCACTACAGACGCATGAGAGACTCTTGAGTGAACAGAGGAAAACCAGAGAAAATATTTATTTTTGTATCAGAGATATTTATATATTTATGCTTTTGTATATAAGTGTCTGAGTTTACTGTATATATGGTTGTTTTCATATTCAAGAGGACTTTTTATTCACACGTCTGATGGTTTTATGTCATGGAAAGGAGTCAAGGCACCCCGTTTTTAAATTTTGACGTTCATCCTCTGTTGTCAGCACTTCCCCCTCCACTCATAAAACGTCCATCTTTGGGGTTTTTGACACTTAGCTTTATGCACAACAGAAACTAAAAGGAACTCTTTTCACCAATCTCACGCTGTCACTACGAGGTGCTGTTACATTCAAGAGAAATGTGTCATTTTGTGTAGCAGTAACATATTATGCATTGCTCATCATTAAACTATTAACAAGTGTATGCAACATAAATCATTGTTTCAGTAGTGTACAAGAGATTTTATATATAAATATAAAATGTACAGATATTTATTTTTTTTTTATCACTGAGTGGGAGAGATTCTGGAAAAAATAACTGTCATCAATAAGCTGATCTTGTACTGCAGCCACTTGTGTGTTTACTCTTGTGCTGGTTACCAAATGACTGCCAGTAGAGGGTGCTGTGACTGGTGTGTTAGTGTTATTCCTCCGTTTCCTCACGTGCAAGAAGTATTAAGACTTATGTGATCTAAATGAAGGAGATCCTGAATCCACAATTCCTTTAAAATAAAAAGGTGCAGCCATCCTGCTGCACAAGCTGGAGCACTATTGCATGTAAATAAAACCTTATAAAATCTATTTATCTTCGTTTTTTATATATATATATAATGTTTGGGTGTTTCATTAAATAAAAATTCTCCAGATGGAATTAAATACTAAAGTCTCATTATAAACTTTATTTATCAATTTTGTATTTACAAATACATAATCTAGCAATCTTCATATGAAACATTCATATTTACAAAATAGCCTCTCAAAAAACAGATTCTGTACAGTACAACCTGATAAGTTAGTAAATTACATTAGTAACTGTGCAGAAAGTTACTTTATGATTCAAATACAAAGAATTCAAGTTCTGAACTTAAACATTACCTCACAACCAGTTTGAATGAAAAACTCAAGTTACTTTATCTCCCAAAACAAAAAGTTTTTTTTCCTTTTTTTAGAATTACTTAGACATCATAATCATTCTGAACTGAACCAATGAACATGTAAACAATAAATTAGACGCTTCACCGCTTAAAAAGGAACTACAAATTTCAAATCAGGAAAAGCCCGGGAGTCACACGGCCGAGCTGCCRTCGTGGCCCAGGATGTGGCTGATGTTGTGGGCGGGACGGTTCGGCTGCTTGCCGGCGTCGGCGGAYGAGGGGTTGGAGAGCGACAGCAGGGGAGACATGGGCATGGCCGAGCCGTCGGCCGGCATGCCGGCGGCGATCTCGGGGAACAGCGAGGTGAGGCTGAAGTTGGAGATGTGGGGGGTGATTCCCGACGACGGCATGGGGGGCATCTCCGGGAGCAAGGGGAAACTGGCCTGACCGAAGCCCACGGGGCGAGGCGGCGACAGGATGGAGCCGAAGCGGTTGTTGAGCGGCGGCGCGCTGCTCTTGTCCGTGCCGGGACTCGGGAACATCTGGTTGGGGAAGTACTGCAGCGTGACGTCGCTGGGGAGGCTGGGGTGGGCCGCTGGGGAGTACGACGGGTAGAAGGAGGGTAAAGTGTTCTGGGGCTCCACGGGGAGAAGGGAGGGGGTTCTGGAGGTGCTGGGCTGGCTGACCGGAGGGATGAAGGTAGAGTTGGTGTTGAGGGTGGGGGGAGGGTTCATCCCTCCCTCTGAGATGAAGGGGAAACCAAAGTTCTGCGTCAGGTGCTGCTCAGACACCAGGTTGTTGTCACCGGGGACCTGGCCCCCGTCTCCCATGAAGCGTACGATGGTGCTGCGTCTGGGCTCCCCTCCGGACTGCGGGCGGCCCAGCAGCACCCCTCCCCCTGAGGGCAGAGGCAGGTGGCCCTCGGGCTCGAAGGGGTTGGTCGGTCTCAGAGCGCCGGGTCGGGGCCGCTCGCTGAGTCTCAGTTTGGTGGGCTGGGCGTCTCGAGGAAGGTGACGCGAGTGCTGGCTGACAGCGGCGGGCGGTCTGGAGATGGCCGAGGGGCGGCCCGGTTCTGAGGCGCTGTGTGGCGTCGGGGGGTGGGGGGGCAGACCTGCTCGAACCCCGGGGCCTGTGTGCATGTTACTGCTGACCTGAGGAATGTGGGCCTTGTTGCTCTCTGCAAGTCGCATGGCCGGGGTCTTCTGAGACTGAGGCACGCTCGGGCTGGAGGTCTTGACTTGAATGTCTCCTGAGGTGGTCCCGGGCACGCAGCTGTACTCCATGCTGACTGGGGGGCAGCACTGCACCGCTCGCTGGTGGTGGTTCTGCTCGGGCAGGTGGGGGGACAGGAGGCTCTGCATGAAGGTCTGGTGACAGCCTTCCTGGACTTGTACTCCCTGGGGGCCCGGGTGGGCTCCGCTGTAGCCCCCGCGGTTCCTTCCATCTGCTCCGGGTCCAACGCTCATCCTGAACCCCCCCTGCTGTGGCCCCTGCAGGCCCCTCTGGGAGGGCGCCGCCGACTTGGGCGCCATGTCGTTCCCGCGTGAGACCTGAGCCTCGAACCCGCCGAGCTGATGCGTCCCCCCTCCACCCCCCATGGCCTTGAAGGGCTGACACTCCGGCCCGCGCTGAGCGTCACCTGAGTGCTCAGGTGGGAGGCGGTTCTGCGGGTTGTGAGGAAGGCCGGCCTTCCCTCGCGATGTGTCCAGGTAACCCCGGAGGTCGGGTTGATCCTGAGAGCCGCCGCCGCCGCGCCCGGGCTGAAGATGGAGCGGGATGCGCTGCTGCTGCTGCTGCTGCTCGCCGCTCGTGGAGCTTTTACTGAGGAGCGCCTCGGCGGAGTAGTCAGAAATACGATGACGCTCCTGACGAGACGGAGCGCAGGCCAGCTCAGAGGAACGAGACACAGGATTACTGGGAGGAGAGATGAGCTGCTGCTCCAGGCTCCGCGAGCTCATCATCCTCTGCATAGCGTTATGGTCCTGACCCGGCTGGGGGGGGGACAAGAGAAATTATTAGTAAAACCAAAACTATCAGTTACACATAAAGTTAACGTTATGTTTGTATGTTAAACTTACAAAGTTAACCATTTTAGTGAGGTTCCCTATGAAGTTTTTCAAATGTTTTTGAACTAAATTAACTTTACTGCCTAAAGTAACCCTTACATGCATCTTCAGTCACATCTGCTGTTTCTGTAGGTAAACAAACRTGGAAGTTGTTTAGGACTGCAACGATTAATCAATTAATCGACAACTAATGGATTATTAAAATAATCGATGACTAATTTAATAATCGATTAATCTTTTTCTTTTTTTTTTTTGTTCACTTTGTTTTTCTCTCCAAACTGCTTTGACACCTTCCACTGCCACATCTGCCTTTCTGTCCTTGACACACATGTACAGTAGTGGTAACTGGGGTAGGCCGTGGACGTCACAAGACATTATACAGACAGGCTCTGGTATCATGGCAACCGGAGCTCAAAAGTGTGGGATCATTTTAAGARAATGAAAGAGAAACCTGTGCAATATCTGCAGAGCAGAACTTRCCTTCCACAGCAATTATTTTTAGTTAGCATATAGCTAAAATCTAACGATGGTTATACAATAGCAGCTGCATTCTGGCACAATAAGCTCTATGTTTTATATTCAATTAACGTATGATCTGATTAATCGATTAATCGAAAAAATAATCGACAGATTAATCGATTATTAAAATAATCGTTAGTTGCAACTTTAAGTTGTTGACAAAAAGCAAAAATAGGTGTGAAAAATGTGGATTTTGTTTCTTACTCTGTGATTTTTTTATATTAATAACAATGGCAACATCCACAGAAGGGACATTTGGGATGGAGAAAATTTGGAATAACTGGAATGGAATTATCCTTGGATTTGTTGAGAAAAGTACTTTGTTTACGTTGAGAGTTTCAGAACTGCATATCTGGACAATTACCAGAGTCAATATAGTTCAGAATAATGATTTTTATATTTAATTTTATAGTTTGTAATGTATATGTAAGGAACTTGGCATAAAACACAATTTTTACTTTTTTTTTTACATAACTGGCATCTTCTCTTTTGAACTTGGTTCAGCCAAAGTGAAACAGGAAGTGACATCAAAGGGGAACTCTATGAAAGAAAACTCTCTGGTCTTTGTTTATTGAAACAATATTATTCAAACTCTTGACTCTTCATCTCTGATAGTGACTCAAAAAAGGAGTGAAGAAGTAGGGTTGGGCAATGTTGGCAAAAAATTAATCATGATTAGTTGTGGTATTTAGTTGATAACGATTAATTTGACGATTAATCCCCTGGAGTCCCTGAACACACTTACAGTATGTCCTGGTCACATGACCAATTTAATGGGAAAGATTTACTCTTTGTAAAAATCTGTTGCAAATTGTGTCAAAATTACAGACTTCAGGTTATACATCAATTTTTAAATTGTGTTGGTAGATAAATAAGTTACAGAACTTTATTTTTAATGTTCGTCATATTTGAAGCGGAGAGGAGCACCGACGGGACATAACAGGGAAATCTCCAGTCAGTCTGCCTGCTGGCATTAATCGTATTAATCGTCAAGTGCAAAAAAATAATCGATTAATGTTTTTCTGACGATTAATTGCACACGATACGATTATGCCCAACCCTATGAAGAAGCATCAAATTCTTCTCTACGGACTGTGTTGTCAGGCATTTTAGTAAGTGTTCACTTGCAGACATTCCCCTTTGACATCACTTCCTGTTGCTTCACATGCAAATATCTCAAACACTGTTCATCTGAGCGGCATGAAATTTGTTTTGTAATATGTTATAAATATGTTACATATTTCCAAAAGTGCATTCATATTTATTACAAAAATCTGATGTCGCAGACACTTTAAGCTCTAGATACATGAAGTAGAAGAATAAACTTTAATAGTCAGGTTTTAGTGTTGTTTCAAACATTTTTCATTAAAAAAGTTAAGAGAAAAAAAAAGTAGTGTTTTATGTCTTATTTCTTTTAACTGTGTGTACGTCGCTGTATCACCAACCTTGAGGTGGTCCTGCTGGGTCATGTGGCTGCTGTGGTGGGCCCTGGATCCCACTGACTGGGCTTCACATGTTTTCTCCTGGTGTCTGAAGTGCTGCTGCTGGATCTGCTGCTGCAGATGCTGTGTGTGTCTGGAGTGGGCACTCTGCTGCTGTAGCTGCTGCTGCTGCTGCTGCTGCTGCTGCTGCTGGTGCTGAGCCTGTGCAGGAGGCTGTTGGTGTTGGTGCTGTTGTTGATGAGACGGTTGGTGTTGTGTGGGTTGTTGATGCTGCTGTGGTTGTTGGTGTGACTGCTGCGGATGCTGCTGGGTCTGTTGTTGAAGCTGAGGCTGTTGATGCGGATGCTGCTGAATTCCAGACTTTTCCAGGTGGTGTTTCTGCTGCAGCCCGGCAGGTGAGCCGGTCTGGCCGGCTCGGACGATCCCTCGTTTTTTGTGGACGTGCTGCTGCTCTTGTTGCTGCTGCAGCGCCCTCTGGTGCAGCGAGTGGCGCTGTGCGGCGTCCGCCTGTGTCAGGTGGTGCTGCAGATGGTACAGGTGGTGTCTTTGCTGCTCTTGCTGCTGCTTCATGTAGAGGTTCCCGCCCAGATGCTGACCAGACTGGCTCCCGATGTGCTGTGGATGACCCTGAGGCACCTGGAGCGCCCCTGACTGATTCTGCTCTGCGGGGCCCTGAGAAGGGCAGTGGCCATCGACGGGGCGCACGGCTGGACTCATGAAGGAGTTCGTGGAGAAGAGAGGACCTGCGCTTTCAGAGCTGATCCTCGTCAGCACGGCTGAAGAGGAGGACGGCAGCAGCGGCACCATCATCTGACCGTGCTCTGGTGCTTTGACATCCATGTGGCTGACGGGGTTCACCGGGGCAGGGCAAGGTTTGGGTCGTTTCCCTGGGTTTAACAGGACTTCCTCCTGGGCCTGCCTCTTGGGAATGATCTTCATTTGTCGCTCGGCCGCAACATTTCCAGGCTGAGTCCTCATCGACGAAGTCTTTAAGGTGGTGTACTCGATCACGTGGGCGGCGCCTGAACAGGGTGACAGGGACTTGTTGGAGGACTGGGACATGTGAGCCGAGGCGCCCACAGGTGAGGAGCCCTGCTGAGCAGCCAGGCTGGGGGAGGCGGGATAGGGCTGGTGGCTGGAGCTGGGCCGGATCAGGTTGTTCACGCTGAGGCTGGCTGCCGTCCCGCTCTGAGCCGAGCTCTGAGCCTGAGGAGGAGGAGGCTGTGAGTAGGAAACATTTGGGGGATGTCTGCTTCCGTTTGGCCGACTGACGGACCCCTCGACGTGTGCGACTCTTCCCGGCTCCGTGGGCTTGGTCGATTTAGCTTGCTGCCCAGCTGAGCCCCGGTCTTTGCTTGTAGACCCCGGTGGGGGTTTGGGAGCATCCCACGTGGCTGAAGACGTGTTGTCCCCAGAGCAGCCTGCGCTCCTCCTCCCAGGACTGTCCTGCTCCAGCATGGCCAAGGCCAGCATCTCGGCCTGTTCTGAAGTGAATGTGAACGTGCCGAAGGAGCTCGACGAGGCACCGACGCTCTGGCCCTGAGGAAGCATTGAAGCCACAGAAAACCCTCGACCACCCGCRGCCCCCGCAGCGGAGGGCGACTCGCTCTGCCTGCTGGACGTCACGGGGTTCTCCAAAGCCTGGTCGTCTAGGTTGGTGTACACAGGCTGGGGCAACGAGAAGTCTTTTCTCGTAGCTTCAGAAGCTACGAAGCTCTCTTTCTCTGCTGATGTGGAGCTCCTCTCGCCCAGAGCGTCGCCGCTCACCGCCTGCGACGGTTTCACTTCCGGCTGGCGTGAAGGAGACTGCGACGGAGGAACCTCGGTCGGCTGCGACGGAGCTCTCGGAGCGACGGTCTTCTTCCTGAACTCTGAACTCGCTGCGGCGGTGCTGTGGGGGGCGGAGCACGCCGCTGCGGGTGAGGACAGCACCACGGCTGGAGACACAGAAGCTAACTTGGCAGGCTCAGACTCTGGTTTGCTACAAGCCAGTGGGTCTGGAACCTTAGACTCCTGGGGGAGGCACTGCGAGGCTGCGGGGGRACTCTGGCTTACAGAGGACGGTGCAGTGGGTGTAGTCTTGCTGGAAGACGCAGCAGAATCTCCAGACGTGTGCCAAGTCTCTGTGACGACTGCAGAAGTGCTCCCAGGTTTGTTTTGTTTAGAAACGACAGCAGTGACGACCGACTTACTTTGTGTTGTGGCAGTTATTGTGGTAGTTGTTGTGGTAGTTGTTGTAGCAGCAGAGTTCAGTTTAACATCTGAGGGTTTGGTTMGAGCTGAGACGTTACCAGAAACTGTAGTTGGTTTAATCTCGGCGGCTGAAGCGGAGCTGTTTGAAGGCTTGCCTGATGTTTCGCTGACTGTAGCTGCAGCTGTTGTGTTACTCGCGGTAGTTTGACTGAACACTGACTCACTTTGAGGTGCACTGACGGAGCTTTCCTCCTGTGATGAACTAACAGCAGCGCTGCCAGACGAACTGCACACGACCAGCTGCTTGGTGTCCTGAGCCAATGCAGCGCAGCCTAAAGCTTCACTGGTTTCTGCAGCTGCAGAGCATGCTGGGGGAGCATTTGTTACTTCGACAGGTGACGGCTGTAAAACCTGAGATGAAGTAACTTTCACCGTTTGGCTCTCTGCAGCAGCAGGTTGGACAGGAACAGCGGCAGCCTCAGGATTTGGCTCCTTCTTCTTGGCAGATTTAGTCCTTTTAGCTGCTGCTCTTTTTGTGTGTAAAACTGTGCGAAGCTTCTTCCCTGAGGGCTTAGAGGCGTTAACCACTGGCCCCGAGGTGACTGGGTTCAGGCAGGGGACCTGCAGCTGCTGGGCAGGTAGMACGACAGTGGCTGCAGGAGCAGGAGGCTGCTGCTGTCCTGCTGATAAGGAAGCAGGAAGAGGCTGGCAGCCGTTCTGACTACAAAGAGGGAGGCCTTGAGATATGCTCTGGTTTAAACTACTGAGGGCTCCTAAACTGTTGAGGGCCACGTTAGTAGTTGGTTCCTCAGATGTGGTGGGCTGGACCAGCTGGAGGGTCGTCTGGCCACCCTGGGAGCCGGATTTGTCAGAAGTCTTCATGGGCTGCAGGGCGAACACCTGCCCGTTCACAGTGATGGTCTGAGGGGTGGCAGGAACTGGTGGAGAACTGGAGGCCTGGCTGACCTGTCGGGGATGGCTGACGTGAGGCTGGACGGGGCGAGGCAGAATGTGCACCAGCTGCTTCCCCCCGACACTTTGTAACGGAGGCGCAGACACCGGACTGCTCGTAGCAGGAGTCTGAGTGGACGCAGCGGGAACCAGCCCGACCGGGGGGTTCTGAGGAGCGGACGCAGCTTGACTGGGGGCTTGGATGATCACTATATGCTGACAAGGCGTTGGGTTCGTCATTTCCTCCCTCGCCACCGGCTGGGCGGGGCAGGCGCTGGCCTGCTGCAGGATCACCAGACTTGGATTGTTCGTGTTCTGAGGAGCCGTTACGCCTGGAGCCGCTGCTGCAGCCGGGTTGACCTGCAGCACCTGCATGGTCTGAAGGAGGGGCAGCTGGGGCACCAGAGCTGGCTGAGGCTGTGGGATGAGGGCTGCTGGGGGGTGAGGGACTAACGAAGCTGGCTGAAGAACAGCGGGTTGGGGCTGGGACATGACGGCGGGCCGAGCCACCACATGTGGCTGTGGGACTATGGCTGACTGAGGGAGAACTGCACACGGAGGCTGAGGCTGGTTCTGGACAGCGGGCTGTAGATGGGTGGGTTTTATGAGAGGGTGAATGTGACTTGGCTGCATTTGGATCTGGATGGGACAAACGGAGGGTTTGCCGCCCAGTGGGCACACGGTCACCTGCTGGACAGCTTGGGTGGTGCTGCTGACCTCTGGGGAGGGCAGACTCTGACAGACCGGCTGCACGGTGTTCCCTGCCATCTGCAGCGTGGTCCAGGTAGTTTGCGTGCTGCCTGCGGCTCTAAGGAGGGCTTGGTTGCTCGGGACGGCCGTGTAACAAGCAGTCCTGACAGCAGCGCTCTGTGTGACCAGAGAGCAAACCTCTGACGTGGGTTTGGTTACAGTTTGGGTGGACGCAGGTGGAGCAGCGCTCTCGGTGGGAGGCTGTGAGGCTGATGTCGCTGCTGCAGGGATGGTCAGCGCTCGCTGAGGCAGGGATGTGGTGGCTGCAGGGATCTGCAGGGCGATGTAGGAGACGGAAGGTGGCAGAGGCGGGGCCACCGCCGGCGTCTCCACCACACACTGCTCCACCACTCTGGGAGTACACTGTGTGGGCGCGGCGGCTGACCCCGGGAGAAGTGCAGGGGCGGAGGAGGGTGTTTTCACTTGCAGCAGCGCTCCGTTAACTCTTAACCTGGCCTCGGCTGGTGGCTGCAGGATTAATGCTTCAGAAGGCTGCTGCCCTGGGCTCGTCTGTTTGCCTGCAGGCCCCTTCACGTTGCTGTTGGAACACACGATAATCCCCTTCGGGAGCTGGTGAGTTGGGGTGACCTTTGCCACCTTGGCACAGCGCTGCTTGCCCTTCCAGTGGATTGTGGGATCCTCTAGGATGTTGATGTCATGAGCTTTGAGGAGCTCGATGTAGTGAGCGCTTTCTTTCCTCAGTTCGTCCAGCTGACGCCGCAGCCGACTGATCTCCTCCGCTGCAAAGAGACGAAACAGACGACTCAATTAGAAACATGACTTCATAAGGTCATAAGGGATTAACTGTTGTTTATTCAGTCATCAAAACTGTTCAGCAACAAATCAAAAAAATTACAAAACAGTTCAAAAATGTGAACAGTTTGACTGAAAAGACACAGGCAAAAGCACAAGGCTTATATTTATGCCTGTCCTACACATCCATTGAAACTACCCCTCATAATCATTGCAAAAAAACAAAAAACAAACAAAAAAACACAAATAACAAAGAAAACAAACAATCCTTAACAAAACAAATACAATGTAGTTATTTTCACTTGTAACCCTCAAATAAATAAATAAATAAATATAATTTGTTTGAAAAACCATAACTACATTCTCGAAAGTCCATGCTTGCATCATTCCATATTTTAATTCCTACAACAAAAAAGACCTCCTTTTTATTTCTTTTTTAGCTTATTGTTTTATAAATTTAATAACATGTTGCAGATCATACAGAGATTCATATAATATAAAAAAATCTTTGCTCCCCAACAGGCAACAGACCTAATTTTGCTCTAAACATCATTTGCATTATTTTGTAATGAACCAAATCATAGAATTTCATGATACCAGATGTAATAAATGTTCACAGTAACCAGACTTACTAATAACACGTATGGCTCGTTTTTGTAAAAGTACTACAGTATATCATTGTTGTTTTGTATGTGGAAGCCCACACTTCCACACAATAAGATATATACGTATGGAAGTATAAGTGAAGAGTAAATTATATGCAAAGCCTTATAATTTAATACATTTCTAGTCTTATACAGAATAGCTATTGTTTTTGCTATAATTTCCTTTATATATTTAATATGTTGTCTCCATGTTAATTTATAATGAATAATAATCCCTAAAAATTTTATTTCCGACACTTGTTCAATTTCAGCATCACATGTTTTTAATATCATATCTCTAGTAGTGTCTTTTTGATTTCCAAACACCATGAATTTATTAATTTTTATATTAAAATGATAATTTGTTGATATCAAACCAAGTTTTAAGATTTTCTAATTCCATTTCAATAATAGGTAATAGGTCCTTTAAAGTTTTTCCAGAACAATACATATTAATGTAATCTGCAAAAATAATAAATTTTAATAAATTAGTAACATTACAGATATCATTAATATAAAGTAAAAATAATTTTGGTCCAATCACAGACCCCTGGGGTACTCCACATATTCTAAACTGTGACACAGTATTATTCATTTCCACACACTGTGGCCTGTTTTCCAAATAACTTTTAAGCCAAGAATATGCCACCCCTCGTAACCCATGTGTGAAACTTCCATTACAGTTCTGTTAAAATCTTTGTCCACATTAATCAACATTATCAACTGATAAAGGCTACAAAAACAGGGAGGTGAGGATTAGACTTAATTATGAACCTAAAAGCTGTCATAACCCTGAACAAAAAGGACATAAATTAATTAAAAATAAATTTCTTTCATTAATATYCCCACTGTAAGTAACTAAACTAATATTTAATCTGAACAATATCTAACTTTACCTTGGACTTTATCTCCTCCATCCAAAAGCATAGCATCATTCTGTTTCTTTAGTTCAGTGATGTACCGAAAAGCTTGATCCAATATCATGTTTTTACTCTAGAAATGAAAGAAAAATGTTACATAAAATCCTTTCAGGTTAGTGCTGAATAATAA